TTCTCATCTGAACTTGGAGCTTTTCTCCAACCTCGAAAGTCGTTTCTATTTCCCTTAGGACAGACTGTAACCTCTGTGCACCTATTAGACAATACTATTAGCTTTTTAACTCTGGACATACAGTATTTCTGGCTGATAATGTGACAATGAAGTACTCTTTAACATATATAAAATTTATTAACTACCCCAAGGAACTGTTCACTATGACATTGACCTTTGGTGTTCTTATTTAGATGTCTCAACCTCTTATTCAAATAGAAACTATCAAATTCTTTGCAATGTCCTTTTTTATGTTTATGCTGCAAGTTTAAATGTGGGCAGCTGTGCCAAATCCATCCAAATATGGTTTGTCATGAAACATAAAGTTCAGAGGAAGTATTATTGCTGTAAGCAATTGTTCCTGAGCAATGGCAGTGGATAGATAAAGTATCCACTCTCCCCAGTCTAATGCTACTCTGAGATGTGTTGGACTTTCAACCCCCATTTCCTCTCATTTGGATACCTCAAATAGAAGTACCTAGAAGATAATAGTGAAAATAGTGCATTGGTCTCAAGGCAGAACTATTTTGGCTTGTTGGAATGCTTCTTAGAATAGTTCCTGAACTCTTGCAAGTAGGCACAGGCAGATGGATGTCTCTCTCATAACAATACCTGGTGGGTCAGATAGCGACTTCATCTGGTTTGTGGGAAGTGGGACAGATTCCTGACAGCTGAAGCTTCTGGCAAAATCATGCTGATCTTCCTCTTTCCAGTTGGCTTTCAATAAGTTCTCATCTTCAAAACACATTTGGCACAAAATGATCTTTCTTCTGGGCCAATAAAATGTGTAAAATATTTGTTCCATGCCATTCTTGCATTTTTTATTTAATCTCAAAGTAAACTAAGGGGATGTGTAATACCATCATGTATCAGTGTCAGTTTGAAAGTTCCTCAGCTGAGAATTATTTATTTATTTATTTATTTATTTATTTAAAACATTTATATCTCATCCTTCTCAATCCCCGAAGGAGGACTCAGGGCGGCTTACAATTGGCAATCATTAGATGCCGACAAAGAACAATTACAGCACAACAATTAACATAAACAGGTCCACAACAGTAAAAATACATTAAAATACATTAAAAATAATGACCCTTAAAATATTAACACAACCAAGTCTGATTTCGCAAATCCAAATAATGGTCCAGAGTTCCAGTCCAAGATCTCTTCATTAACAGTTTTCATGAGTCATTACAGTTGTTCCTCAGCCAGCTGCCCAAATTCCTGGTCCCAGAGCCAAGACCTGAGTTTTTTTCCTGAAGGAGAGGAGAGATGGAGTCGCCCTGATTTCACTGGGGAGTGCATTATACATATGGGTGGGCACCACCGAGAAGGCCCTGTCTCTTGTCTCTTGTCAGTTGCGACCGCGAGGGCGACAGGATCAAGAGCAGGGCCTCCCCCCATGATCGTGAACTCCAAAGTGGGTCATAGAGGGAGATACGTTCGGACAAGTAAACTGAGCCGGAACTGTTTAGGGCTTTATAGGTCAAGACCAGCACTTTGAATTGTGCTCAGAAGTGGACCGGCAGCCAGTGGAGCTGACGAAGCAGGGGGCTAGTGTGCTCCCTGTAAGTCGTTCTGGTGAGTAATCTGGTCACCGACCATAGAATTAGTTGGAGTTTCATTTTTTTGTCATTGCTAGGTAATTCAAAGCAGAACCTTGTTATACTGATGCATTATAGATTGGGGTTACCCAAGGAATCCACCAAATTGTTAGGCTAAATATAGCAGCTGAAGCAAGTTAGTGCAGGAAAAGTATGCTGTCAGAATGAAGGAAGCTGGCTCAAATAAGTCTTGTGTACTCTGGTGTGTGCATGCTCTTTTGAATTCATTGCCTGTATTTAATTTTGCTGTAATTTAAACACCTGTCTATGTGGAATGTGTGAAATGTCCTTTCCCACCACACTCAACTGTTTACACACCTGCTTCACTTAGAATGACAGCTTTAAAATAAACAGCATTTTCATATTGAAGAGAAGTGCACCAAGGTAGTCTAGAAAGTGAAGAATGGGATAGAATGGCGAAATCGCCTGGTTAAATGTGGAGGAGAGATGGCTGTATGTAGTTTCCTTCATGTAGGACTTCTTTGCTGGAAAATTCTTCCTTTAGGTTCAGTGTATCAGAGTGAACACTTCATATTTAATGGTGACTTTCAATGAGAACTCTTTTTTTGTTTTTGTTAATCTTGGCAATTTTTGGCATTTAGGGATGAGGGAAGGAAGATGCATTAAAATCTTATTTTCTGATCCCCTGCTCAGATCTGGATTTTGAAAACCTCCGACGTTATCATCAATCTTCTTAATAAGGCAGATTTTGCTCTATGTGCCAAATCTTATAATCGTAGTGTAGGGAGAGACTACAAGAACCATTCAGTCCAATCCCTGCCATGCAAGAATACACAATCAAAGCATCCCTGCCAGATGTCCATTCAGCCTCTGCTTAAAGATTTCCAGAAAAGGAGCCTCCAGCACACTCCAGGAGGCAATATAGCCTACTGCCTAACAGTTATTACCACCAGGAGGTTCTTCCTAATATTTAGGTGGAATCTTCTTTCCTGTACTTTGAATAGTTTATAGTGACATGTGATGATATTAAACACCCTGGCTATATTGGTATTTTTATATATTGCTTCTTTTTTACTTTTTGGAATAATCTGCAAGATTATTCCAAATAAACTGAGACAATGGTATGATTTGTACATCTCATCTGAACTATGCATGAACCTGGTGCCCTCACGATCCAGCTTACCTGTGGTCATTTCCTTCTTCCTTCTTGGCATGCTGCCTTCAGCACTTTCTAGGCTAATTAGCCATAATTCTCTATTGGGGAGGGGTGGGCAAGAAATTGCCATTGTGATGATGCTGATGATGGAAACCTCATCAATAGAACAAACCAGAATTATAAGCATGGTTCAAATTAAGATTAAGAAACTAGGTTGTTTTAGTCTTGGCCACTATCATTATCTAATTTAGACATAACAGGAAGCTGTGGCTCATTAACCCAAGAGTTATTGAATCATGTCACTCAGGGAAGGGAGGAATGGCACAAGGAAAAAGCATGCAGGCACAAGACTTTTGCATATCTCAACGTATTAAGCAGAAGTATGCATGTCTTACCCATCACTGCCTAGTAAGCGTGCCTTTTTCAATCAGTGGAAAAATGAAATCAACAGTAAAGGTTTAACTTCTCTCACTTGAAAATGCAGAGCCAAAATAAATGCCCTAGGAAGTTTCTCCAGTCATATATGTATTTCTTTGAAAAGAACAGTGTTGCCTAGATGGTTCCAAGGAGACTTTAGGAATGATGGCCTTTGCTCATTTATTTTTCCTTTTTCGGTCCTTTCTCATTCCCTATGACCAGTAGACGAGCAAAGAAGGTGTGCAATTCAATGTATTTATTGGGATTGCAGTGGTTACAAATAGCATTTGGTGTCCATTGAGCTTCACTAACATCAATGGTTTCATGCAGCTAGAAGCCTAAATCTTTCAACAAGAGAAGTAGAGCATAGTCAACATGTAATCCAGTTAGGTTGCTCTTCTCATACTTGCAGCTGCTGGAGTGCTGGGCCTTAAGAGTCCAACAAGGTACCAGCATCCAGGGTATATTTTAGATCAAAACAAGCAGATTATCCGAGCAGTGTTGCTCAAGTCCAGGCACATCTTTCTCACAAAACTTAGTTGCCACAATTCCCAGAGTTCCCTCAGAATAGGGACTAGCACAGAATACTATGTAACAGCAAATGTAAATATGTCCAATGTTCTGTTTTCAGGGCTGATCTAGAAGTTTCTTTTGGCCCTGAAGTCTTGAGTTAACTTTTTCCTGTTAGGTCCATTCTTGGCCAACCAGAAAGATATGTCACAGAAGATCCAATTTTCCATTTCCACTCTGATTTGAAATGTTGGACTTCCATATCCAAACCAGTGTTTTTATTACAACATTATGCTGGTTGTGTTGCCATTTTGGTCCCTGACTTTCATGTATGTGTTGATATGGCACATTCTTAGCTAGTCTGCATTATCTCAATTGCTTTGATATTCAACATCCATCCTCCCTGACCATTAGACCAACTGGCTGCAGCTGATGGAAATAGCAGGCCAAAATATTTAGTGAGACCCATGGTTTGGGAAGGGCTGGTTCAATTGCACAACAGGAGAGTGTTTATACCAATAGAAATAGAGATAAGATGATACTTCAGGGTTTATCTATGATCTCTTGAGAGAAAGAACTTAAAAACCTTACAATCATATTCTTGGATGCATTTTGCAGTTTATTAATGTTACTGGATTTCAAGAAAAGCCCACTTAGCTTTTGCCATGGTGTTGTCATGCAGAGAGCAGCATACTGCTTTTTGTGGTATTCTGCTCTATGGAATGTTGTACTTCCTTCGAGATTTGTTGAAGTCAGAGCATTGTGGACATGGGGATAAACTGCTCTGGTCAGAAAATTCTCTCTCTCTTTGTTAATGTTGTGTGAGCTTTATCTTTTCTTATGTTCCAACTTTAAATGTTGCAACCAGCCAAGCTCTTGGGAGAGGGTGGAGTTGTATAAATACCCAAGTAAACACATTCTGCTCTTTGAGTTCTTGTTTCATTCATCTAACTATTATAACGATTAAAGGAAAGGGATAAATGCCAAAGAACAATGCTATCATGTTTATAAATATTTGAATTTTTGTTGTACTTTATCCTGCCCTTTCTCAGAGGAATTCAGTGTAACTCGTGGTCTTCCCATTCAGCCACCTACCCTTTTGAAGCAAGATTGTGAGACGCTTTAGAATAAAAGACATGTTGACTGGCACAAAATCATTAAGTAACCTCTTTCCACATTGTACCTTGCACCGTACTGTCTCTCTAAATATAAGCAGTGAAAATGTCATCATTCAACTGTGTTATATTCCACAGCATCTTGTTATTGTTTCCTCAAACCTTGTGAAGTAATTTTCCTTTTATTTTGTTTTCCAGTTAACAAATCTAAATCTGATGAATGGAGCTGTAAACAGAGTACATACTACTTCTTCCAGTTACCGACCATCACTCAACCCAGGAGGTTCATTTTGGGCTTTTCAAACGCACACACATGCAACTGACATCAGACCTGCATCTTTGGCAGTTAGGTGAGTCAACTAGCATAAAACAGAATTTTAATGTGGCTCATAGAAATACTTCTAAATTTAGAGGACTTTAGTTGGATGAGATTATAGATTGAAGAAGTATGTGAAATGGGAGGCACTCTTTAGTTTTACTATGAAATTGGAGGATACTATTTTAGCCTTTATGATTGTAGAGATTAGCAGCCACCAAAGTGGATATTAGATGTGTTTTTCCTGAGATGTAATATTCAGAAGCATGTAAACAGAAATAATGGATTGCAGGTTTATTGTTTTATTTCTTTCTTGGTAATTATGCCTAAGTAGTACTTCTCCTTTTTGAGTGTGTGTTGTGGGGGTGGGGGGTGGGATCACATTTCAGTTCCCTTATCCTCATCTATTCATCTATTTGGAAGGTAGCCCAATCGACCTCTTTACGATTGAAATGTCAAGTCTTTCCCAGCCCTTCTATCCAGAGTTCAAACCTGTGGCTTTTATGCATGTTAGCAATGTGCTGTTTCATTAAGTCACAGCCTCACACTAAACTTGCATTTTCTTAGTCCACTGCCAGATTGTCATGTTTCTATTTTGTGCTCCATTTTTTTTCTAAACCAGTTACTATGTATTCAGCAGTAGCTGTTATAAAAATGATCATGTTCAACTTATTCCATGGTGTCATCTAAAGTCCATGAAGCTATGAAGATGCTGAATTGCTATCTGGACTGTTAGGACCTTTAAAGTGGGTCTTCTCCAAATACTATTAGAGGAGGCAAAATGGTTATGCTCTTCCAAAAGAGGGAGCTTCGCTAGTGGTGACCTCGATTTAAGAATGATGTTAGGAGCGATATAATTGACATCATAGCTTTGTTTTTGGCACCAAATCAAAATATTCACTTTTGTCAACACAATTTAGAAATGTAAGGCAGGCATCTTCAAACTGCAGCCCTCCAGCTGTTTGGACCTTCAACTCCCAGAATTCCTGACAATTGAACAAGCTTGTTAGGGCTTCTGGGAGTTGGAGGCCCAAACAGCTGGAGGGCCACAGTTTGAGGATTCCTGATGTAAGGAAACTCATATTTTTCATTCCTGATGGAAAAGTGCATTTCAGTTCATTGAGACACTGTTTTGAGATAATGTTGTAGTTAAATCTTTCATATCCTTGAAAATTTTGTCAAAACTTATTTAATGCAAAATGCAACATTATAGTCATTTCTCTACTTCTGTAAAAGCATTTCCTCTGTTCTGAAATGTTGAACTATATCTTGTAAAACTTAGTTCTTCATTGTGGTTTCTATGAAATCCCACATATGGGTCACTTCTGAAGGAATCCCACTAGAGCATTGCAGCACACCCAAATACCTGGGAATTACCCAGGACCGTTCTTTGACCTATAAGAAGCACTGCTTGAGTATCAAGCAAAAAGTGGGCACGAGAAACAATATCATACGAAAGCTGATTGGCACAACTTGGGAATCACAACCAGATACAGTGAAGACATCTGCCCTTGCTCTTTGCTACTCTGCTGCTGAGTATGCATGTCCAGTGTGGAACACATCTCACCGTGCTAAAACAGTGGATGTGGCTCATCACGAAACATGCCGCATTATCACAGGATGTCTGCACCCTGCGCTACTGGAGAAAATACTCTGTTTAGCCAGTATACCACCTGATATCCGCCGAGAAGTAAAAGCTAATAATGAAAGCACCAAGGTAGTGACATCTCCGGCCTATCCCCTATTCAGATATCAGCCAGCATGCAAATGGTTTAAATCAAGAAATAGCTTTCTAAGATCTACAGAAATACTCTCAGGAACACCTTAGCAAGCAAGAGTCCAAAAGTGTAACCTCAAATTATGGCTGATACCAAATGAGATACTCCCTCCTGGGCACACAGAAGACTGGGCGACTTGGAAGGTGCTGAAAAGACTGCTCTAGCACCACAAGATGCAGAGCCAACCTTAAGAAATGGGGCCACAAAGTTGAGCCCACAACATGCGAGTGTGGAGAAGAGCAAACCAAAGACCACCTATTGCAATACAGCCTGAGCCCTGCCACATGCACAATGGAGGACCTTCTTATAGCAACACCAGAGGCACTTCAAGTGGCCAGCTACTGGTCAAAGCACATTTACTATAATGCCAAGTTTTGTTTTTTTAAACTGTGTGTGTTTTTAAATACATTACAACTGTAGCCCTGGTTCGCTCCTGATATGATAAATAAAAAATACACATATGGGTTTGTAATTACTGACAGTAGGAGTTTTCAGCTAAAATAGTAGCTTTGCTCATACACTTTTGCCTTTAACAAAGAAGGATGCCCTTCTGAAACAGTTTGGTCCTCAAGCTGGAAGAAACTTTACCCCTTTTTTGTAATGTCCCAAGGCAGATTTACAAATTACTTGATTCACTACACTGTGACCTTGTTTTCCTAAACGTTTCATCCAGTAGAACCAACGAGTGTTAAGGCAGCTAATGTTTGTGCCACAGCAGTGGAAAGCTACATCGCTGTAACCCTGAAACAATTGGCAATTGTGGGGGATGTGAAAAGCAGTTTTGGCCTTGATGCCCTCCTAGAACGACTGGTGAGGAACTGAAAATCCAATCAGAAGTATGGTAACTTCCATTTTTTTGAGGATAACTTGGTTGATTACAAGTCTTTCACGGCAGAATTATCCACTTAGATCACATGTGCCCAGGTCCCCCTTTATTTATCTTAAAGCATGAACGTGCCATATTATGTCTCGTCCAGATTTCCAGGAGATGGCAGTTACCTGATTTTTGGCATCAAACTATTTGAAATTATAATAATGTTGCTTGAACTAACTTGAAGAAATGTATGCTGGCAACTTCAGTTCTTTCTCTTCTGAAATAGCCTGGAGGCTATCATTGTGAATTGGCACAGTCTTGAGTAAGGATTGCTTTCTGCAGGCTCCATTCTTGGCTTTGCCTGCCTGGAGTCTCCATGGGAGGGAAAGCAGGAAGCGTGTCTTTCAGCAGTTCAAGGTATGACCCTGCAACCTCAGGTTTCCAGGCAGTAATGAGTATGCTGTGCCGTTGCTTTCCTAAGGTAATAGGGAATGTTAATTGCCAGAGGGGTTAGGTACAGTTCATTGCATGCAGGAGACAGTCTTTTATGGCAAAAGCACAAGCAAGGAAGGAGGAGACGAACTGGGATAGCATTATTGCTATGGCTTTCAGCTTTTATGGAAGACATCACTCTGGCACTGTGAAAAGATTTTGATTTGTATGATCTCAAGAACTGGTCTTGTACATATTCAGAATAAAATTCTAGAGCAGAGGTATTAACTCTTGATTCTCCAGATGATTGGATCTACAGTTCTGTTTAACCTCACCAGACATGGTCAGTGGCAAAGAGTCATCTATTTATAATCAAAAATAGCTTGATAGCCACAGGTATAAATTAGGTATAAATACGTGAGAGGAAGTCATAGGAAGGAAGGAGCAAGCTTGTTTTCTGCTGCCCTGGAGACTAGGACGCGGAACAATTTATTTATTTATTTATTTAAAACATTTATATCCTGATCTTCTCACCTCTGTAGAGGGACTCAGACCGGCTTACATCAGGGATTCAATGCTACTAATACAAGTTGAAACATCATATAACAATACAAGATTAAAATACATATAGATAAAATACATATATACCAAATCACCAAAGTAAAATCATGTTCAACTCAGTCTGCATATGTGGTCGCTCTCTTGGATCTGTAACCAGTCTCAGCCATTATTCTGGGAATGCTTCGTTCCATAACCAGGATTTTACTAGCCTCCTGAAGGACAAGAGGGAGGGGGCAGATCTAATCTCGCTCGGGAGAAAGTTCCATAACCAAGGGGCCACCACAGAGAAGGCCCTGTCTCTTGTTCCCACCAAACACGTTTGCGAAGGTGGTGGGATCGAGAGCAGGACCTCTCCAGAAGATCTTAGCATTCTTGATGGTTCATAGGGGAGAATACGTTTGAATGGCTTCAAACTACAAGATCTTGAAGTGACACTCCATCTGAGTTATGCTGTGTTTTTGTTGGCGAATTTTGACACACCAAGCTCAAAAGGTTGCCCATCACTGCTCTAGAGTAAGAGGCGTGAAGGAGGGAGAAGAGCAGGCTGGAGCTGCCTTTCTTGCATGAAAGATGGATGCAGCAGCAGCAACGACCCAATGCAAGCAACGACCCAATGTGGCACCAGAGAAGCTCCAAGCGCCCAAGAGGAGGAGCGATGCACATACTCTCCAAGGTATTTTAAGGAGACTACCCACTTGCGGATAAGGAAGAATGATGATCTTCTGGAAGAGGAGAGTAAATGAATGTTTACTTTTTGTTTGCTAGGGGATTAATAGAAAAGATTAAACTCAGGCGCACAAACAGTTACTATTCAAACTTTCCTTTCATTTAGCGGTTATTTTCGTAACCAGAGGAGGGCTTATTGTTTCGTGCCATCCAAATGAAATAAACGGTACGAAAACACGGATTAAACAACAGAAATGGTTACCGTGCACATGACTAATGGTTATACAGGCCATTAAATAATCAAATCTACAAAAGTTAAACCCACAAACATGGATGGCCATCATGCTTGTTAGAGAAAAAAAAATTGAAACTACTAAGTGTCTAATGACAGTTTGCAGTTCTTTCATTCCCTGCCTCAGATGCTGTGGTCAAATTGAAAAGATATGTGGGTGGTTTTGTGTTTCCCCCCAAAATAATTCTATTAAAATATTGCCTTCGCACTTGCACAAGCATCTTTCTTTTATTACAAAGGGCAGGATTGCATTTTGAGTTCTCTCGTTCCTATTTTCTCAGTAACTCCTTTGTTTCTATGCCATTTGATCAGGCAGTAGGCTTTTCCCCCTTTTGTTTAAATGTCTGAGATTAGAGTCCAACAACTATAATATCTTCCATTAGAACAAAAACAACTCAAGCTTGCTCCAGTTATTTGTATGTTGCTCTTAAGGGAATTCTCTCAGCTGCTTTCACTATAATACACTACTCTAATTTCATAACCTCAGCCTT